ATTCTTGTTCCGTGGAGTATGACCCCTTTGGTTTTTCTATCAAGGATCTTCAAACTCGGCGCGAGATCATACGCTTCAGTAGCCCCGGTCCACTCTACGAGTTTCATACAAGCACCAGCTCGCCATCGCCCTATGGACTTGTCGCCTCCACCACCCCCACCGAGCTGTGGCATCGCCGCTTAGGTCATCCAGGTCGTGACGCTATGTCACACTTAGCTAAAGATTTTGCTATTCCATGTAATAAGTCCACTATGGTTTGTCATGCGTGTCAACTAGGCAAGCACGTACGCCTACCATTCTCTAGGTCTCAAACTGTGTGCTTTGTTCCCTTTCAGTTAATCCATTGTGATTTATGGACCTCACCTGTTGCAAGCAATTCTGGTTTTAAATATTACCTTGTCATTGTGGATGATTTTTCTCATTTTATGTGGACTTATCCCCTTCGGCGCAAATCCGACACTTGTGATATCCTCATTAATTTCTTCGCCTACGCACGCACACAATTCAATCTTCCCATAGTCTCTCTACAAACCGACAATGGCACCGAGTTCGTTAACTCTACACTAGTCGAGTTCTTGGCTCGAAACGGCACCCACCTTCGCATGTCCTGCCCTTATACGTCTCCACAAAACGGTAAAGCTGAGCGTGCCTTGCGCACCCTCAACGATATCACTCGCACCCTCCTCTTCCAAGCACACATGCCACCCTCATACTGGGCAGAGGCCCTTGCCGCGGCAACGTTCCTCATCAATCGCCGTCCATGTCAAGCTGTAGAGTTTCGCATCCCATACACCCTCCTTCACAACAAAACTCCATCCTTCTCCGACCTCCGTGTCTTCGGTTGCTTATGCTACCCTAACCAGTCCGCCACGGCTCCTCATAAACTCGCTGCGCGATCCACTGCCTGCGTTTTCCTTGGCTACCCATCTTCGCACCGTGGCTACAGGTGCCTCGACCTCAATTCTCGTCGAGTTCTGACGTCTCGTCACGTTATTTTCGACGAAAATTCGTTTCCGTTCGCGACCACGCAACCAGCCCAGCCTGCTGAGTCCCTAGACTTCTTGCTGGACCCTGAGCCTTTCCCGGTCGTACTAGCACCAGCCCAGCCCATCACGCATGCTTCTCCTGAGACCAGCATGCATGGCTCCTCATCCACGCGCGCGCCTAGCTTCCCGACGTGCGCGACCACACCTGCGCCTAGCTCGCGTACGTCTTCTCTAGCGCACAGCTTGCCGGTCGCCGGTACCTCTCCGTCTTCCGAGTCTCCTGCCTCGGTTTCGGCTTCCACTCCTCCGCCTCCACCCCCGCCACCACCTCCGCCTCGGACCCGCACCCGCGCTCCTTCCGTTCCGGCGGTTAACACACATCCTATGCTTACACGTGCCAAACACGGCATTGTTCAGCCTGTCGATAAACTAAATCTTTCGGCCATCCACTCTTCCGTCTCTCCGATACCCAAAACATACCGGGGTGCTCTTCAGGATCCATTGTGGCGCGCTGCTATGACTGAGGAGTATGATGCTCTAATTCACAACCGCACGTGGTCTCTTGTTCCTTGTCCGGTTGGTGCCAATATTGTTTCAGGGAAGTGGATCTTCAAGCACAAGTTTGGTTCTGATGGTGCTCTCGCTCGCTACAAGGCGCGCTGGGTTGTTCGTGGCTTCTCTCAGCAGCCGGGCGTTGACTTCGACGAGACGTTCAGTCCTGTCGTCAAGCCCGCCACCATCCGCGTCGTCCTCAGCATCGCCGTCTCT